CAAAGTTCTTTACATGCACCCTGATAAATAAAAAATATAGTCAAGTTTTCCTCAGAGACCATCGATATAGCATATTTGTTTTTTATGAATTTAATTAAAATCATATTTTTAAAAAGGTCTATTTCAAACTTTTAATGCTTATACACTATGAAAATAAATTTAGCAAAACATTCACAGTCTCATTCTGATCACTAAACACACCCCTCTAACTGTCAAACGCTGGTGTGAGAAAGAGAGAAATACTCTGGGGTTCTTTTCAACTTTAAAGGAACAGAATGCTTTTCAACTTCAGTAATTTAGTAAGATTTTAAATGAACAACATGGTTTTTCAACTTCTGTGTGAGATAAACTTTCAAGGTCCCCAGCAATGTGGAGGGAGGGGAGGAGATCCATGCCGCTGCAACATATGCGTGCACACACACACACACACACACACACACACACACACACACACACACACACAAACGACTCCCTAACTCCCTACGGTCCAAAAAAATATATAATTGGAGATAGTTTTCAGAGAGATCCGGCTCTAGCGGGGGATTTTTCTTCCAACTCTGTAAAACATGTAAGATTATTTTATTTTATCTAAACAGACAGATAAGTGCATGCGGCGCATCCTTTACTGCTCTGACAAAGACACACACACACACACACACACACACACACACATAGAGCACCTCTTTTTGTTTTAAGGCAGTGTGAGATCATTCATACACTGGTTTATAAGCTGTATGTCTTTTTCTTCAACTCTCTAATACATTTTTAACTGTTTGCAATATTTTTGTGGTTCCATTTTATTTAAACTTTTTGTGTGAGGTTTTAGTAAGATTTTATTTAATATTCTTTTACAGAACAGATACACGTTTACAGTTTTTTCTTATCACTTTCACACACACCTGCTATGATAAGCTTAGGCATAGCGAGGGGATGCGCTAAAAAATAACAATCCACCGCTTTGTAACTGTAACAACAAAGTCCAATACATCTCAAACTATAGCCCCTTTCACACAGCGCTTTGAACCCGGCAAATTGCCGGCAAATTGCCAGAGTGCCTTCTGTGTGAACGCAAACACGACCCGGGACTGATGCCGGTGTTCTGACGATTTGTGCTGCCTTGTCGAAAAATGCTACCGTAACGCGAATCGATCACAGAATGTCGATTAATATTGTATGAAATACAATTATAATACAATTCTAAGTACTGAGTAGCTACTGTATACTGTAGACTACTGTTTTTATTTTTAAAACGGTGTGAAAATTAAAAATTATCATCAAATATTCATCTTTGACTTGTCAAAGCACACTTTTCCTTAGTAACTGAAAATTTCAGTTATTATTGTTCATCTGGCTGACCGTAGGCCTACACATATTCATATGCTAGTTAGCATTTTTAAAGGGAAATTACAATATAACACATGAAAATGTACCTTTTGTTAAAAAAAACTGTGCGTCTGCACATGCGCATAACCATTAAGTAGCAAATCTCGATGGGTAGCATGAATCGTCAGAACACCTGAATCAGAGAGCGCGTTCACACACAACCCGTGTATGTTCCGGTGTTCTGACGATTCATGCTTCCCATCGAGATTTGCTACTTAATGGTTATGCGCATGTGCAGACGCACAGTTTTTTTTAACAAAAGGTACATTTTCATGTGTTATATTGTAATTTCCCTTTAAAAATGCTAACTAGCATATGAATATGTGTAGGCCTACGGTCAGCCAGATGAACAATAATAACTGAAATTTTCAGTTACTAAGGAAAAGTGTGCTTTGACAAGTCAAAGATGAATATTTGATGATAATTTTTAATTTTCACACCGTTTTAAAAATAAAAACAGTAGTCTACAGTATACAGTAGCTACTCAGTACTTAGAATTGTATTATAATTGTATTTCATACAATATTAATCGACATTCTGTGATCGATTCGCGTTACGGTAGCATTTTTCGACAAGGCAGCACAAATCGTCAGAACACCGGCAAATCACTGGCAGTGTGAATGAAGCAAAATCAAACGAACCCGGGTCAAATCCCGGGTCGCTTTATCCGTGTATTTTCCGGAATCTCTGTGTGAAAGGGGCTAGAGATTCCGGAAAATACACGGATAAAGCGACCTGCATTGTGCTGAACTTAATGTGTGGAATTAGTCAGTACCGTACAGTGCAGTGCTGCATTTCTCACGTTGTTCTGTTACCATTAGTCTGAATTCTGTGTAGGTGAACGAGCACATGATGTGCAAGTCTTCCTAGGGCTGGTGTTGTGGTCATAGGTATTTTTAGAAAGAGCACAACAGGTGTCTTTGCAAGCATGAGCGTATGTGCCTAAGCCTGTTGTTGTCAGTGTTTCAGCTGTAAAAATGTAAAATTCACAGTCTGCTGTGATTAAATATTCCACAACAGAAAATGGCCAATAACATGGGGGTTCCTGAAATAATATAAATAATATATGGTCTTAATGTGGTTGCACCCATGAGGCATGCCAGCTCCATGTAAAAACAGCTTTTATTAAGCTATACTGATTTCTAATCAAACTTTAATCCAATTAATTTTATTATTTTAAATATCTCTAAAAAGGGCTATTCATTTATGCGTGATATTTTTAATGAAGGAAAAAATCAATGTGAAAAGGGAGTGAGTTGTTTTATTACAATGTGTTGTATACTGGTTCTGGTTGTTTTAAAGCATCTAAATAGACATGCGGAGAGAGAGAGCAGTTTCAGGTTCACCTGGGAAGCCTTGTTGTTGGAGGAGAGAGATGAGTCCTTAGTGACTGATGGTGGTGAGAGAGATAATGAAGCAGGTGAAGGAGTGGAAAGGTGGAAGAGTTATGCTCTGGAGGGAGGAGTGTGTTTTTGAAATATTGCTACAGGCTAGGAAGAACTATTGATGTGTATAATGTATGTTTTCTAAAAATATCCTCTTGTTCAGTAGAAGATTTACAATATGATGATATTCTACAGTGAAGACCTGGTGGAGTTTATCCCAATAGTTTGAAAGTGAAATACCATTGTTGTTTGTTGTGACTTGAAATGTGCTGCACTTGACCCGTTTATTAACTCTTAAATGGACAGTTCACCTAAAAATCATTTACTCACCCTCAAGTTGTTCCAAACCTGCATGAGTTTCTTTCTTCTGCTGAACACAAAAGAAGATATTTTGAAAAATGTTGGAAACCAAACAGTTGACGGACCATACTTTGCAAGTCAGTGGGGCCGGTCAGCTGGTCTACCTAGTGCTGGTCACGTCCTCAATCTCTGATTAATGCATTTCTATGGCAACATAATTAATGCCGAAATGAAGATGGTACAAATAGGAGCTTTCAGAAAATTCAGAGTTTACAAGTTGTAATTACGAATTCCACATGGACGTGAACACTTTTTACAAGTCGGAGTATCGTAATTATGTTAATTTTGACATGGCGTGAATGCACTTTTACAAAACTGCTTTGAGTTCTAACAGTGACCGTAAATAAGTTGTTTATGTTCATTATTATTGTAATATTCTGTGCTTTGAAACATAATTTAACGTCGTCTCTCGCTTTGCAGACTCTGGCTGTGTAATTGATTTAAACACACACATTATGAGAAATGCCAGAAACTTCCACAAACCCACAAGTTCTTCATCAGAAGGTCATGAACTCTCCAGTGTTAGGTCATTCGCTGAATTAACAATGACTCTTTAGTAAGAAAGGATCCAAATGAAACCAGGCCTACTTCTGGAAAAAGTGAAGAGCTTCAGCAGAAAGCTTAATGAGTGATGTTCGATTAGTTTCTCTTTTTGATTGTTTTTTTTATTTTATGTATTTTAATATATTTCATTTTTTTTTAATTATGTATTTTTTATTATTTAATGCATTCTGGGGGAAAAATAGAAGGTATTTTATGATAACATTATATCTATGGAAATTCTGTCATCATTTACTCTCCCTAATTTTGGTTCCAACCCTGTATGTTGTTTTGATAATTTACTGACATGGAATATCCATGTAGATAGTCTTTGCAGTAGATTACAAGAACGGTTGCACTTTTTACGGCGTCTTAGACTTTATGGTGTGGATCAGAGGTTTATGATAATTTTTTATCAGGCAGTCTTCGAGAGTTTAATTAGATATAGTATTAGTCTGGTTTGGTAATCTGTCCGTAGCACGTAGAACTAAACTGGTACGGATGATCCACACTGCCTGGAAAATTATTGGAGTGAAAGAACAGACATCATTGCAGACCCTCTATGAACAGGCTACTTTAACGCAAGCTAAAAAGATTGTGTGCGATCCGTCGCATATCCTGTACACAGAGTACGAGTTGCTGCCTTCTGGGAGGAGGTTTAGAGTTCCTCGCTGCAGATTGAACAGATTCAAAAACTCATTTATTCCAGTGTCTGTAAAGATGTTAAATGATGGCGGTATGGAGTTGTAACTTATGCAATTTTTATTATTAATATTGTCTGGTTTGTAAATTTGTTGTATGTTAACTGTATACTGACGGCAGCATGGGTGATGACCCAACACAAATTTCCCTTCGTGGGACAATAAAGTTTTTACTTACTTACTTATGACTTTCTTTCTTCTGTGGAACAAAAAAGAAGATATTTTGAAGAATGTTGGTAACCAATCAGTTTTGGTGACCATTGACTTTCATTGTATGGACAAAAACTCTGAGGTATTTCTTCTCAAAATATCTTCTTTTGTGTCCCACAGAAGAAAGAAAGCCATAGCGATTTGGAAGTAAACGGAGTAAGTGGCTGAATTTTTAAGAATCCCTAAAGATGCAAAATGCATCAAGACCATCACAGCCACTGGAAATCCCCTTTGATATAATGGCTTTTATTGGCCAAAAACTTTTTAGTCTATGGATATAGACACATTTCAGGAGGCCATAAAAGATGCACCTTATATCTGTAAGTTAAATATAATAATCCTGAACCTCACTCTAAATGCAAATTTTCCAAACTTGTAAGTCATTTTGACTTTTAGCCTCTGTCCTCTCATCTCTCCGTAGGACATGACCCAGTCCTGGCCTTACCAGCAGCCCGCAGGGGAAGGGAGCAACCAGCATTTGCTGTACTCGCACTCAAAGGTACGCACAGGGTTTATTACAGACTGCCAGCAAGTGTGATCAATTCACCAAAGGCACAACCTCTGCTCTGTCTCTGTAGGTGTATCTCTTTTTCTCTCCTCATTTCTTTCCCTGCAGGTTATTACACTTCCATTGTTTATTTGCATACTCATAAACTCATAAATCCGTGTTGTTTTAGCACCAGAGTCACTAAAGAAATTATGCAAATCAGCTAACAATGCTCCAAGCACAATGCAGGCCAGTTCTAGGGACTCTTCACCACTACAACCCAGAGTCGACTTGTTTAAAATGCCAAAAGTGCACCTGAACATAGCAACACCTGGTTAAACTGGAATTCGAATATTGAATAAGGTACAGGGTTTGGCGAATGTTTGTTTGAGTTTAGTAACTGTTTAGTGAATTCACCCCTCTGTTTTTTGACAAGATGCTGTTTGTAGGCTATGTGTTGATTTATTTTTTCTGTTTATCTGTCTCAGGAGGGAAAACTGCCCAATTCACGACACAGACATGGTAAACATGCTACACTGATGTGCAAAATGCTCTGTCTTAGATATGTGTCTTTTTTTATTGGTATTAGGGATGCACCGATATTATTATTGGATTTATACCAATAAGCTGTTTTCATGTTAACAGCTAACCGATAACTGTTAAATGACTGATAATAAAATTATTTACTATTTTATGTAAAAAAAAAAATCCTAAAAACTAAAGTAAATAATTTTGAATGCTAAAAGTGAATTTAGGCATCACAACACTGTAAAGTGCAATATGAAAAATGGATGTTTATTTTGAGATTTACTAAAGATTACATTTAACAATGGTAAATTATTAGTGTTTTGAAGATTACCTTTTTATGAGCATTAGACGATGTAAAAATAGGGGAAATGTACACTGCCATTTATATATTTGGGGTTGGTAGGATTTTTTATGTTTTTAAAATAATTTTGAAAGAAGTCTCTTATGCTCACCAAGGCTACATTTGTTTGATGAAGAAAAAAACAGTAATATTGGGAAATATTATTAAAATTTAAAATGACTCTTTTCTATTTTAATACATTTTAAAATGTAATTTATTCCTGTGATGGCAAAGCTGAATTTTCAGCATCATTACTCCAGTCTTCAGTGTCACATGATCCTTCTGAAATCATTATAACATGCTGATTTGCTGCTCAAGAAACATTTCTTATTATTATCAATGTTGAAAACAGTCGTGCAGCTAAATTTCAGGATTGTTTGATGAGTATAAAGTTCGAAAGAACAGCATTTATTTGAAATACAAATCATTTGTAACTTTATAAATGTCACTTTTGATCAATTTAATGTGTCCTTGCTGAATAAAACTATTAACTTCATATTTTTTTAATCTTACTTACCCAAAAATGTAAATAATAATGTACTTTCAAAGTTAAATGTCCAATATTGACAAATATTTATTCAATATCGATTAATACCAAACCGATATGGTACCACTATATTGTGCATTCCTAATGTGTATGTGTGCAATAAGACGTTTGCTCATCATTAACTGCTTCATGTTCATACATGGTTCATACATGGTTCACAGCTCTACATGTACTAATAGTAGTGTTTTTACATTCTGCTCCATAACGCTGATGTATTTCTCTCCCTGTGGCTCTCTCAGTGAGGGATGGTGTCTCTATGAGGATGCCCTCACGTCCACTCGTGGCCCCTCATAAATCGTAAGTGCAGCGCACAGCACCCGATTTGTCCTATGGTAACCAAGCACCAGGTTGTGCCTGAACTGCTTCTGCCTTTGAACTTTATTACATAATAAACCATTGACTTTACCAAATTCAGTGTTGAATGTCTGTACATATTAGCGTGTAAAAAATGTTTTGGGCTTCCTGGAATTTAACTACTTTGGACCAACTGCTGTTTAAAACCAGCCTCATGTGGAGTGTTAGGCCAGTGTTATATCTCTGCTGTCTCTAACCATACCAACTTCACTGACCTCATAAACTTTACTGAGTTAGTATCTAATTACAGAGCAGGTTAACACAGTTGGAGAGAGCCCTGAAGCAAACTACCATCAAATAATATCACTGTTCAACATTAGAGTGCAGTGTTTATGACTACTTTCTTTCAAACTTGTAATGTGATACAATCTCATATGGTTAAACTGTTCAAGGCAAACTCACACATTTAGTACACACACAGATGTTCGACAGATTGGCAGAATGAATAAGTCTCTCTGTCAAGTAAGTGTGACATTCTCTCATGTTCGACTCTCCCTTTGCCGTCCCAGCATGCTCGCTGATGACCTGAAGCTCAGCAGTGACGAAGATGACAAGGACGAGGTAGGGCGCCTATTAAGATTGTTCAAGGAATCGGCTTAAAAAACATCTATTATTAGCAATAATTATTGCACTGCTTGTGGTAACTGTTAGCTTTGAACACAGTCTAGCTCATTTGTTCATTCATCATGAAATGCATTCACACACAGTCACCTGGCTGCTGTTGCACTTGTGTTTGCATTGCTCTCTCAGTGCAGGCAGCACTGTATCAATACTAACATTGCCATTCACATCTGTGGAGTGCTCAATGAGGCAAAGTCCTCTTTTATGTTAAAAGTATATGACTAATTCTATAATACGTTTTTATGTTTATATTAACATACTACTGTTTATTATAAAATATTTCTTATTGATTTTCTTAATGATTTTGAAAGAAGTCTCATGCTTGCTTTATGGCTGCATTTGTTTGATCAAAAAAAATATTATTACAATTTAAAATAACTCTTTTCTATTTTAATACATTTTAAAATGTAAAATATTCCTGTGATGGCAACGCTGAATATTCAGCATCATTACTCCAGTCTTCAGTGTCACATGATCCTTCAGAAATCATTCTAATATGCTGATTTGCTGCTCAAGAAACATTTCTTATTATCAATGTTGAATGCAGTGCTACACTATATAGCTGCTCCTCCCTCACATTCACTCCAATAGGCTTTATGTCGAATGTCACATGAACAACAGGAAAACAGGTCTCATCATATCCGCTTGTTGGAGAAAGTGTTAACAGCAGTATGTATGAATGAACAGCTATATGTATGGCCTTTTAAGGAAATCAGCTAACCTCGCAGTTATTTTAATTGTTGGCACTTTATTCAATTTTAATATCCGAATGCTAGTGAGAAGAAGAAAAATAAAAAGCTTTTAGATGTCTATCTGCATATGCGATTGACATTGGTTATGCACATCTTTGGTAGCTCCTTTGAAGGCATCTTCAGTAAAACAGCTTTATATTTAACTGAGCACAAACAAAGGACCTGAACCAGAAGCGATGCTTACAGAATATGGAAGTTTGTTGCGCATAACCCCCGTAGGAGTTCTTTTAAACAAATTATGGCCTCATGTTACACAAATTGTTAGGAAGCAATGCCTTCTTGCCTCCTTGAGAAAAATGCCACTGCTCCATATCTGTGCTACTGAACTTGACATGGTTCGCTGGAACTGAACATGTAGCGAGTTCAATAGTTGACTCAGTCATTTACCCTTCAACACCAGCTCCTTGTATGTGAGTGTATCTCATTCTCTATCTCTACCCAGGACTACAGGTTTATGAGTCATAACAGTCTGAGTCATAAGATACACCAGACTCTTGACCTTTCTGGCATTACTGCAGGACTGTGGCATTTGCTTTGGTCAAGATGCTAGTAGTGACCATGAATTTGAAGATTCCAAGCTAAAAAGCTCTCTCATTTATTCTTAACTGTTAAACAGGGAAGTGAGCAAACAACTTCCTGGGCCGATAATGACCGGTAAGTGTGTGCTTGTGATGTTTTGTCTGCTTTATGTGTTGTACCAAGTCTCATTATGTGCCAGTGTTTGTCTCTGTATGTGTCAGTATGTGTGTATTACATATTGAAGAGGTCAGAATATGTGGAATGTGACAGCTGGATGATAGACCAGCCTCTGTTTCTTTTGGCCTTTCAATATGTTCAACCCCCAAATACACACACCACTTGTAGGCCAAGCATTTTGTCAGGGTTTAGTCTGCATACTTTTTGGGAATTTGGAATTTCGCTGAACTTGATTTTCAAGATTGTTGTACATGTAAATGCATCTGAGTGTGTGGCCTAATAAGTGTGTGTGCACTTCTCAATCCCCATCCATTGTGTGCATGTATTGACTGACAGCTTGTCAGGCCAGCAGCAGCACCACGCACATATTGGAAGGGTGAGACATTCTAGCTCAGGGTCTTCAGGATCAAACCCCTCCAGCGAGTGGGAAAGCAGTAGCCAGCGATCACGTAGCCCGAGCCCAGGAACGCACGCCCGGTGTGGGACACCGACCCAACAGCGGACCCTAAACTGCAGCATAGAGGTACACTAACAAATTTTTTGCCATGCAATCTACTATTTTTCATTGCCTCACTCTCTCAGTTTTCCATTAGTTGTTTTTAGCAGATGAGGTAGAAAGGGATGGTGGGGGTTGGAGAGAGGAATGTGGAGGGGCGGCCACTGAGACTTTAGAATCTGGGTGTCATGTCAACATGTGGCACCCCAAATGACTAACTAGATATGAAGTTTTATGTCACCCTTGATTTCATCACATAAAGCAGAACTTAAAGGGATAGTTTACCCAAAAAAAGAAAAGAAAATTCTGTCATGATTTACTCACCCTCATGGCGTTCCAAACCTGTATGACTGTACAAAACAACAATGGACCCCACTGACTTTCATTGTGTGGGAAAACAAATTTAAAAAAAATCTTCTTTTCTGTTCCACAGAAGAAATAAAGTTTGCAACAACATGAGGGTGAGTAATTAATGTCAGAATATTTATTTTTGGGTGAACTTTCCCTTTAAAACAGCACAGGGGGGAAAATCCTAAGCTTATAACCACTACATTTGAAAAATTGTATTCTGTGGTCTTAATTTTGTTCGTCAGAAAGAGGGATTAAAAACTCCAGTAGCATAGGGCTACACCACCATATGAATGAAGGTGTCTGTGTGACACAGCTGGCTCTATTACTGAACATGCCATCTATTTGGAACCTGTGGAGAAGGGAGGAGGGAACACCATGTGTTTTTCATCTACGTGTAGTCATGTAGTGTCTCTGAGGAGGACGGCTTGGAAACGCCACACGGTTCCAGGTAGAGGGGGGTTGAGGGGAGGGGAGGGGTGGTGGGAAAAGGGCACAAGAGATGCAGTGTCTTTGCTGGAAAGAGAGAGAGAGAGAGAGGGGAAGGGGGAATGTTTGAGTGGAGGAGTAAAAGTTTAAATTAACTCTGGTCAGCTACTGGAGGCAAGCAGGGAAAGCACAGTCTGCCCTGGAGCTTAAGTGTGCTATCAAGTGAGTATTTGCTTAGTTTTGTGGCATTAGTTCAAATGTTTTGTAAAGTCAATAGTTAACTCACTTTATTACTCTATAGTGTGATTCTGTTGTCATAGAGTATTTATATTTTAAAGCAGCTTTTTTCTTCAGCCTTCTGGATTGTAATAATTTAAAGCAGTGAACTGAACAGGCATTGTTATGGTGTGAATATGGGGTGAAATTGAAAGAAAGGGTTTGCTAGTGTTTAAGGAATCTCCACAATGTTTCTGCCCTCTTTCTCTCTCTCTCACTCACCCTCTCACCCCCTGTTTTTTCTTTTTCTCTCTCTCCCACTGACACACCGGCTTGTTTACATAAATACTCATATTTCTTATTCATTTATTCTAATAATTTCCGATTGCCTTTTTTTTTTGTCTGCCACATACATCAATTTCTCATTGTTAAAGAGGTTCTGGAATATAGTTACGTTTATACTGTTGTCAACCTCAGTGGTCAAGAGTTTATGGTAAAGAGTGGATTCACTAATAATCAATCTTGTCAAGCATGTTTTGTAATCTAGGTCACTCTACTTATATTGTCACATTGTTTGATCAAATTCATATTTAGAGTAATATTTACAATACAAAATATTTTTTATCATGTCTTGATATTTATTTTATGTCCTTTCTCTGTCCAGACGGAGAGTCCACCATCCATACAGTGGCAACTGGACAGGTGGCTTGAGAAAGTTCCTAAAAAGCATCGGTCAACTGACCACGACCCAGGAGGGGGACAGCGACGGAGTGCAAAATCTGACAGTGGCCGAGGACCATCACCTGGAAGATACTGGGGTAGAGACTCTGAGTCAAATTATAGTCCTTGTGAAAGTCCGGTCCCAAGTCCAAAATTTGACTACAGCCCCAGAAACAGTCCTCGTCCCAGCCCAGAATACAGTCCATGCCCCAGTCCAGGAATTAGCCTTGTGCCAAGCCCACTGCCAAGTGTGTGCCCAAGTCCAGGAGACAGCCTCCGAGGGAGTCGAAGTCCAAGCCCTTTATTTCCGCATCCTCCCAGAAGCCCCAGTCCAAATTTCTCATCCACCACAGTACTTATCCAAGGTACATATCCTCAGGTACAGTCACCTCAACAGGAAAGTCCCAGGCATATTGCACATCCAACAGTTGCCTCCAATCCAGCACATCGTCCCAAAGTCAGGCCATGGGTGCCTCCGGACCATAGCTCCAACCAGAGAAAGGAATTTAGACCCAAAGACTCTCAATCCAGAGACTCTCAATCCAGAGACTCTCGATCCAGAGACTCTCGATCCAAAGACTCTCGATCCAAAGACTCTAGACCTGGTCCTCCTCAACAACCCCATCATTCCAAACACAGCTTAACAGAAAAGTCACACAAAGATCTCACACACAAGCCTAAATCCAAAAACTCTGAATCCACAAGCAAGCAAAGGTTTAACTCTCCTTCGAACCCAATTACAAAGCATTCATTGAAGAAAAGACCACGCATTAGCCCAAAACCACAAGCCAGGCTCTCATCTACAACTGACCATAGTATTGAACATAATCACAGAAACAATGAACCTACAGGAGCGTCAAACCAGAGTTCAACCTCCAAATCGGGCCGCTCATCTTATTTCAATACTTTAAAGAGCTCAGACCGTGGTCCTTCATCAAAGTCCAGGGACTCGGCCCAAATCGAACTCAACAATCAATCTAGTCACAGCTCTAAGACTAAATCTTTCCCAGATACCAAGCAATCCAGATCTAAACAGACTACCCAACCGCGTTCCAGCCCAAAGCCCAGGGTCAAACTAGGAGACACCCCGGTGCCCAAAACCGGGCACTCCCAAAAAGAGCCAAAGCCTAGAGAGAGAGAGAGGGAAGTGGACAGCCGAGGTAAGGCCCAGGGAGTGACCCTGGTGCCGACTGGCAAGGAGCAGAGACAAAGAATACTGGCGGAAGAGCAGGTAATAAGGCGCCGCTGGGTTCGGAGTTCTGAGGAAGAGGAAGACGAGGAAGATAGGAGAACTGAGGAAGGGGAAAGAGAAAGGAAACGGAGAAAGAGGAGGGAGCAGGAAGCTGAATGGGAGGCGGTCCAGCCCAAGCAAAGACCTCACACCATCAGCCAGCATCACGCTCAACAGGGATGCAACGGACTCAACCTTGAGGAGCAGAGGAGGAAGAAGAGAAGGTGGAGCAACGAGGACATTTCCTCACATCCTCATGTGATAGACTCTAGCCCTTCTCCTCCACTCTCTCCACCTTCGCCTACTCCTGTCGTCAAGCCCACTCGTCCATCATCTTCCTCGTCCTCATCCTCCTTACCGTCCTCATCGTCTTCCTCTGAATCAGACTCTGAGTCCAGTCCACCCCGGAACGTTACCAAAGTCCCTGCAGATTCAACATCAACTCAAAAAACAATTTCAAAGCGGAGGCATGACAAACAGGGTTCAGGCACTGGTGCTCACCCCCACGGCTCGAGCTTAAGCACCCCTGAGACAGATACACAAGTCCGGGGCAGGCACAAACTCTACACACTGGTTCCTTTCGGACGATCTGAGAAGTCTCCCACCGTCCCACATCGAGGCCTGAAAAAACTTGTTGTGAGGATAGACCTCTCGCTTCTGGGTAGAGTCCCTAGTGCAGATGAGATTACTGAGAGACAGTCCTCATCTTTATCTTTGTCATCGGGAAAGGCAAAAGAAAAGACATCAATGAAGCAGCTGCACCACTCTGACCAACTGCCTGGAGATGGCAGAAGCAAAAGAAAAGTGAGGAAGAAAAAAACATATTTACATTTAATTAATTCAAACAATTCAGCAATTTTTAAATTCATGTTCTGTTGAATATGAGAGGTGTCTTCTCGCATACATGTAAGATTTTGCGTATTTTGCCGTATGCCTTAGGCTGAGAATGGAGATGCTCAAAGAGAAAATAAGAGAAATCACTCTCGTGCAGATAGACTTCCAACGTCAGTCCATAATGAGACTGAGGAAACCTGCGCTGACAACAAACAAAACGGGTATATTTAGACCTAATAACTTTATTTGAACTTTTTTCCTTTTATACATCAGTCCTTTGTCTTTGCAGATACAGTTTAGGTCAAATTTAATGAGCTGAAAGTGTTATTTTTTTCCAGTGTTGTTTTTGTTGATTCAGAAATTTAGAACATATCTGTATATGCTGCATATTATTAGTATACTGGGATATCAACAAACAATTACACATTGAAGGACATCATGGAAAGCCCCTGTAACAAAATGCAAACATATGAAAAAGTTCAATTCATTGCTGTTATTCTTGCCAACTGGGACATGTTTGCGTAATCTTATCTTTACTGTATAGCTCATGCTTTTTTGATGACGTCCTTTTTATTGCTGTGTATGCAGATGTCAGGACGATTACTTTTACTCCAAGAGGCCAGTGTCCCCATTGTCTCCTCCATCTGACATATTAGAGCTCTCAAAGTCCTCTGTGAAAGCTCAGCATGCAGAGAAGTACCACACACCTCCAGAAAAAAACGATTCAACAGCACAGAAAACACAGGTTCTTAAAATAATACTCACACAACACACAAAAGCTTTATTTCTTTTTCTTTCTTTCTTTCTTTCTTTCTTTCTTTCTTTCTTTCTTTTCCACAAAAAAATCTCACAGCTTGATTTCAAAGTAGAACATTTTAAAGTTCCACAAATAACTTTTCATTATTTAGTTCTTTAAAAGAACTGATGTTTTAAAGAACCCAGAATCAAGGACTCTAATCTGAAAATGTATTATACACTAATGAAACAGGACCTTTGTCTCAACAGGTCCAGAAGACGCAGCCCAAGGTAGAGGTGGAGTGCGTAGGGGTGTCAGGACACCTACAGCCTCTCTCTGGATCTCGGGTTCCTCCCCCAAACCTTCCTCTTCACTACAGAGGAACCGTACCTATCAGTGATGTGTAAGTTCATGTCTGTTAATGCTTCTGTTTCATTTAACAATTCTGCAGCGTATGAGGTGAAAAGCTTCCCATAGTTCTCACCTAATCTTTCTTTTTTTCCCCTCGTGTTAGCTCTCATCATGCTGAGTACTACATGCATGAGGCCAAGAGGTTGAAACATCGAGCAGACGGAATGGTATGACAGCATTGTGAACATGCATTGCCACTAAACAAGACTCTTATGGGCTTTTCACACTGCACATTACCCCCGTTATCGTTGTTTTAAACCCCTCTTTTGACCCTCAGTAAAGGAACATTTCACACATTTCTAATTTAGAAATGGGGTTAGCACCGCTTTTTACCTGGGGTTATGAAACCCTGCTCCGTAGCAGGGTTTGCACTTCTTTTGCGGTGTTAACCCTGCATTTCGGTGCCAAACGTGTACAGTGTGAAATGATGCAGTGTCAGAATGTTATCAATGACACCGATATCGCAAATATGCAAATAAGGATGTTAACCCAGGGTCTAGGAAGTGTTTTTCTAAATAGCTGGGGTCTCAAGGATTATAGTACATACAAATCAGTCACAGACCAAAACAAGGATGAAAATCCCTGGCTTATGTGTGTACCCTCTGTACCAGATTCATCCACTGCTTTGATTACCCTTTTGCCTCTCTATCCTTGTTTGCAGGTGGATAAGTTAGGAAAAGCTGTGAATTATGTGGATGCTGCTTTGTCCTTCATGGAGTGTGGTAAAGCCATGGAAGAGGGACCACTGGAGTCCAAGTCTCCCTACACCATGTATGCTGAAACTGTGGAGCTCATAAGGTGTTTAAGTGTTTCTCTTTCACCCTCTCTATTGATTTTTTTTCTTCTGCATTATTTCAGCATTGAAAGCATTTTAACTAGGCCAAATTTCACATGACTTCATCTATAAATGGAAAACAGGGGTAGCTCCTTGCGACCGGACTGTAGTTTACCTACATCAGATGTGGGTGAGATTTAGTGCTGTGACAGATCAACAAGCCAGAAAAAATGCAAACATATTTTTTAATGTCAATGGACATTAATAAGATTGATGCCAAAATAGAAAGGGCAAGAAAAGGCCCTATGTATGTCAGAAGCTCTGTATTGATTTAGCATGTTCTCTGTGTTGATTAGATACGCTATGAGACTTAAGAGTCATGCAGGCCCTGGAGCCAGCCAAGAAGACAAACAGCTGGCTGTACTGTGGTAAATACAACACTACAAAGATCTGCAACTATCTGTATTGACTGAATCTTGATCACGCTTAAGTCTGTTGACAAAACACACATTTTGTGTCTGGGTTGTAGTTTCCGCTGTCTTGCTCTTCTTTATTGGCAAATGTTCAGACTTAAAAAGGACCACGCTCTGAAATACTCTAAAGTCCTGCTGGACTACTTCAAGGTAGGCCGTTATCAATTATCATGCATCAAGTTTGTTAAAACAACTAAGTTGTCATGTTGAAAGATTTACCAATACTTGTAACTGTTTATGCTTTTATTAGAGTTCTCCAAAAGGACCTCACAAACCCCTTTGGAACGATGCTGGAAAGTAAGGGTTAATTATAGCTGGGCCTGTCATTCATATACTCAGCCACTGTGAGAAACCTTTATGTTGTGTTTGAGTGTCAGTACATCTGTATTTGTGCTTCTACAGGGGAACTGTACCTCCTGCCTCTATTTGTTCTGTCAATATAATGGGATCTCACACAGGCAGCTCACCCAGCAGTGTCATCAGCATTCCCCATCGTATCCACCAGATGGCAGCAAATCACCTCAACATCACCAACAGTGTCCTGTACAGTTATGAGTACTGGGAGGTGGCTGACACCCTGGCCAAGGAAAATAAGGGTGAGTTTTGGTGCAGTTGTTTAGGAAAACTGTGCGCTTCTCACAGGGGCCCATTTTAATAGCTTAGCAAAAAAAACATTTATTTGATATTATTATGTTTCCCCCCCCCCCCCCCCAGTGTGTTTATATATTTATTTACTGTTGATAAAGGAGAATTTCAGTAATAATTTAACTAATGGCAATTAAATTATTCTTTCTCATGCACACACCAGAATTTTTCAACTATCTGAACACACTGACTGGACCCTTGACTCTGCATAGCAGTATGGCTCATATCGTCCAATACACCAGGCAAGGACTGCAGTGGATCCGGATCACTGCTAATCTATCATAATGTCATGTACAGACATTCTCAAACTCCACAAATCACATGTGGAAACAATGTTATGAAGCCAAATTAGCAAACGATTTTACAGTTCCTGCACTCTGTGACCAAGGTTTTTCTTTTATTTTGGGCCAGGACTATTGTTAGGCCCAGACCAAAAATTGTCTGCCATAGGTTAATGATAAGTCATGTGGCATCATGTTATCAAATGTGACCCTGGACCACAAAACCAGTCAACAGGGGCAATTTCTTAAAATTGAGATGTATACATCATCTGAAATCTGAATAAATAAGTTTTCCATTGATGTATGGCTTGTTAGGATAAGACAATATTTGGCAGAGATACAGCTTTTTGAAAATCTGGAATCTGAGGGTGCAAAAAAATGTGAAAATTGAGAAAATCGCCTTTAATTAAACTTGTCCATTTATATCTTCGATTTTGCTGCATTCACTCACAAAAATAATTTTTATATATATTTTCGGTAGTAAATTTACAAAATATATTCATGGAATATAATCTTTACTTAATATCCTAATGACTTTTGACATAAAAGAAAAATTGATAATTTTGACCCATACAATGTATTGTTAGCTTTTGCCACAAATACCCGTGCTACTTGTGGCTGGTTTTGTGGTCCAGGGTCACATATGGTATTTAGAAGCAAACATGCCTATGTTACTTCATTCTACTGAGCATTAAATGTCATAATATCCAAGGATACAGTGTCATGTCATGTAATCATGTTTTCTTTTATGCAATTAAGACTTGCAGGTCCAATTGAAATAGCCTTGGTCATTCAATTCTTAGCACTTCTTTAAAAATGCTAACCTTATTGAAAGTTTTGAGAAGGAACCATTGTCGGCAATTTTTATCAAATGCTGCTTTTCCAAAATGTGCCACATTTTTATATCAGAAATAATTCAAAATCTTTTTTATTTTCTGTATGTAATTATGACGAAAACTCTTTACTGGATTACAATTATTTTTTGGGTGTTGCATCCATCCAACGTTCATTAAAACCTGTTTGTTTGTTTTTTTATTTTTACATGAGCCTTCCATAACTTCTTATGTCAAAGTCAGTGCATGCACAAAGTCTTTAAGATCTGCGGATGTGATTCTTTTTTTCTTCTTCTTTTTTTATGAAGTTCTTTGTGCAATAAGTCAGAATTTTTTACATGTGTCATGTAAACTTTTGGTGCTGTTTTTCAATAGCCAGCATAAAGTCATGTCGGTCTATGCAAGACTATTTATGGCAATGTGAAATTCTTGTAAAGTTTAAACTGTAAGAATGAAAAACATAATCAGGACTTTTGTAATTAAAGTGTTTTTACTGTAGAGTGTAGTGGTGTTGGTCATATGTTAATGATGATGATGAATTGCACACCACAGCAATCCATTAGGAGATATTGTGTCATTTAGGGGACCTTAGCATAAGATCTCTAATGAAAAAGATTCTATTTTGAAAGAACATGCCTACAAATAAACAGAGACTTCGCACATTAAGATTTTATATACTATTTTATCAAAACCCAAGGAAATAAAAGCACGATTTTCCTTACATAGTAGGCTAACCTTACATATTTAACTCAACTCAACTTTATTTATATAGCACCACTAAAAACAACAGTAGTTGACCAAGGTGCTGTACACTATATCAGTCATCGTTAGCATTTAACACCAAGTACAACATAGATTACAAAACAAAACACAGAACAGACCAGACATAGCACGTATCAACTACAATTATAAGCCAAAGAAAAAAAATACGTTTTGAGTTTTACTTTAAACTCATGCAGTGAAGAGGCAGTTCTAATGAGAACAGGGAGGCTGTTCCAAGGTTTTGGTGCAGCAACGGCAAAAGCTCGATCTCCTCTCGTTTTTACTCTAGCCCGAGGTACATTTAATTTAACCTTACCACCTTCACACAAAAAAAGAAATTTAAATGCATTTTTAACATTAAAAGTCAAATGTGTTAATGTTGTAAAATTATTGTTCATTGTTAGGTCAAGTTATCTAACTATTGTGTTAACAATTTTTAACATTTAACAGTTTAATGCTACTGAAAGTGACACAAAAATAGCTATTTTATTTATAAATATGTCATTTCATATTATTGAAATATAATTATAAAATTATTTATAATATAAATGAAATATTTATTTTAAATTTGTAATTTCAATCTTATTGAAAAGTAAACCAAAAAATCAGCTATTTTAGCGAAAGTCCCTTCACCTAATTTTTCTATTTGTCGCCTGTGATATATAGCAATGGGAAAAGATAACCTCAGTCATATCAGGTCACCGTTTACACAGGTTTACACCATAGACTGTAAAAGGTTTACACACACACGGATCCTCCTTCTGTTGTAGTACTACCCGTGTTGCCATGTCCGCGTAATAATATACGTTTTATTTCTCAGGACAGATTGCGTATTTTCTCTTGCGCGATCTGGCAACAACGAGTACTATCAGCGACGGTGCGCTGCTGTGTCTGTGTATGCTTTAGTTCGGCGGCCGTGCGGCGTTTATGCTTTTAGCACACATATATACGACACGTAGCGTCAATATTTTGCTTGATTAAAGCATAAATGGCCTCTGTAGCCGAGAGAGCGGAGCCTGGAGACAGCGAACAGGATGAAGAAGATGTATACGAAGTGGAGAGGATTATTGACACGCGAGTGGAGGAGGTGAGAGAGTGTGTGGTAGCGCTTCTGATGCCATCTTGCTAGCGACTTAGCATGTAGCCTTTACTGTCCTTAGTAAATAGTGCAGATAAGTTAGGTGAATAATAAGTAGGATAATGTCAAAGAAATCATCGAAAAGGACAATTTATGGCCTATTCGCCTTAACTCAAACCTTCCGCAGCGCAGAGAGAGTGTGTGGAAGCGCGTCGGATGACATCTTGCTAGCAACTTAGCATGTGACGTTAGCCTTTACTGTCCTTTGTAAATACTGCAGATACGTGTATAATTAGTAGGAAAAAAGCAAAATAAATAGTCAAAAGGGACATTTTAGGGCTTGTTCGCCTTAAAACACAAACTTCCCCCAGGGCAGAGAGGCTGTTATAGACTCGTTGTAACTTTCTGACGGTTAGCTCAGCTCGCCGCCCGCTTTGAGCCGAAAGCAGAGGCGCGGGACGAATTGACTTCCAAATGCGCTGTGCTGTTGTTTACATCACAACCGCTTAAAATCTAGATAAATTACTACTTTAAACCTACCCACGGCCAAAATAAATGCCGAACACGACCAGTGGTGTTTCATGCGGAGGAAAACAATGTTGACAGCAGTGACAGTCACCCAAGGGTCTATGCACCGGTTGTCTACAGAATCCATTAGAGAATCCTATTATATCTGAAACGGCACATAAGTCGTTTTGTTCTTTGTATGAATGCATAGAAAAGAGAGGGACAAAGTCTTGTGTACACCCTTTAGATCAGACAAAATAAATGATGTATGTCCACATTCACTGTGTAACGCTTAAAATAACAAATAAATCTCTTACAAACTCTTAATGTGTGAAAGATTAATCGCGTGTGTCCTGGTAAACCTTGATGCATGAGCTTACGGGAATGCATAACAATGATTCAGCATTTTCTTTAGAAGTCGTTTATTTTATTAGAATGTATTAATTATTCGGTTGTTTAGATTATTTTAAGATGTAGCAACAGACCCGGAATAGTGTTACTGTACAGTGGGAAGCCGTTTTAGGCCGATTTGCTCTGAAGGTGTTTTGGAGATGTAAGGTGTGGTTGGGATCTGTTTGGAGTCTGTATGCCCCTGTTCCCTTGGGTTCTGAGAGAGAGAGAGAGAGAGAGAGAGAGAGAGAGAGAGAGAGAGAGAGAGAGAGAGAGAGAGAGAGAGAGAGAGAGAGAGAGAGAGAGAGAGAGAGAGAGAGAGAGAGAGAGAGATCACCTTCATGTCTGAAGATGCTAGGTTGCCTCAGCATATGTGAAATGCTGAATTAATTATTTTTTGGAGACTGTATAATGCAAGAAAAACTGAGACATCACTTCATGCCAGACTGCCTCCGTTTATTTTGGTGAGGCTACATTCAACAGTGCCTGTCACAAGTGTATAACAGAGAGAGAAATCACAAGTGTGTGTGTGTGTGGAACTGTATATCATTAGTATTCAAAGGACAAGGGTTAAGGGGGTTTGTTTTAAATAACTTAAAGAGGAAAAGAAAACCGATAATGGAGTGGAGTGAGCAGAAACAAAGTGTACTTGAAAAGGGATAGTGACAGAAAAACACTGTTGCAGATGAAACCCTGTTGGTTAAGATCAATAAAGCCTTGGTAAAGTTTGAGGAGGTCAGTGATTTGAGGACAGATAACACGCAGCATGTAAAATTAGCATTTTACTCACTTCCTGTGGCATTTTTGTTTTGAGACCATGTTCATTTCTTACTCTGCATGGAAGCTATAATGAGGCTTTTTGAATAAGTATTTCTGTTTCTCTGTGTGTTGGTCTTTTATTCAAGTGGTGTCCATTCATACTGCCTGCAACACGAGTCAGTCAGTAATGGCTGTCAGCCAATAATAACCACTGTCAACTGACAGCCTGTGCTTCGTAGACTACTGCGCTTTGGCAGACACACACAGACAATCATGTCTTTAACTTGCTTGTTTACATAAATACAGTTATTAACCGTTTCTCATTGCTGCTTGTTCCTGCACAGAGGCAGTTGTGCAGGAAATTAGGACTCTAATCTAAGCCAAGGCTCTTAAATATGTGAACATACTACTTGCTTTAAGACACAGATAGATGTGGGTTTACATACAACAGCCACAAAGGTTGCATGTAGAGTTGCTTTGTTGTGAAACCAGTTGAGAGAGAGAGAGAATCCACTTTGGGCCACCAGTTGATTTGTATTAAAACATATTATTTGGCTTTGATCTGTTCAGCTATTATTAATCCTCCAGCTAGAGTCACAGTCAATAAGAGGAGCAGGGAATCAGCTGTGTTTGTTACTTAGCAACACAGCAGATAATGAACTTCTCTTTGAAACTAACTAACCTGTGGCACTTGTGATGTGTCTGCTGAACATTAATTACTGCCTTAAAGGGTTAGTTCTTCACCCACTTGTTGTTCCAAACCCACAAGACCTTCGTTCATCTTCGGAACACAAATGAAGATATTTTTGATGAAATCCGAGAGCTTTCTGGCCAGCAAGGTAGTAAAGACATTGTTAAAATAGTCCATGTCACAACCTTAATGTTATGAAGCGACGAGAATACTTTTTGTGTGCAAAAAAAAAAAAAAAAGACTTTCATTCAACAATTTCTTCTCTGATGCTGTTCACGTGAGCACTGCGACGCATGTGTGTGATGCTGACGCAGGATCCGGCCAATACTGAGCCGGCGTTGTGACGTAAAACCCAGCATTGCTGCACTGTTTAATTACAACCTGAACAGCATAGAAGAGAAGACTGACACAGAAGAGAAGAAATTGTTGAATAAAGTTATTTTTGTTTGGGCTTTTTTTGTGTGTGGTGAGAACTAACTGGTGCTGAAATAGCGGGTTTCATTACCCTTAAATGAGTGTATAAACCTGTATGTTTTCATTAATATTACTGACATTGTTGTTTGGAGATTGTAGATAACCTAATGACAGGCCATGATCTTTGACCTCTAACATTTTTGTAGGGAGTGGTGCTGTATCGGGTGCGATGGAAGAACTATTCATCGGACGATGACACCTGGGAGCCTGAGGCGCATCTGGACGACTGCAGGGAGGTGCTGCTGGCCTACAAGAAGGCCCTGGCCGAGATTAAGCCAAAGATAGAAATTGGCATGGTGAGGCTCTTAAGATGTGTTCACATGATTGTAGTTTTTCTAAAAACTTGTATGGACAATGCAATATCTGGTTTCCTTGCTTTGTGAATACTGATTTGTGTTCATTGTACCTAGAAGCTGCCCACGAAGAGTGATCTGTTCGATGCCGACTCAGAGAGTGAAAGCGATAAAGAAAAACCTAAAGAATCACCTATAAAGAAGAAGAAGAAGAAAAAGAAGAAAGTGGAAGAATCAGACGATGAGATGCCTGTGAAGGAAAAGAAGAAGAAAAAGAAGGATAAATGGCGAGAGGACAAGCCTCTGCCTGCGCCTGAGTCTGATGAGGAGGAGGAAGAGAGCAGGGATCCTTCCCCTGCACCCCCTAAAAAAGAGACGAAGAAGAGGTTAATTGAATCAGATGATGACGATGCCCAAATTACTCCCAAGAAACAAAAGAAGCTTAACAAACCTAGAGATGAAGGAAAACATAAGAAAGAAAGCGGAGACGACCACAAGAAAAAGAAAATCAAGTCAAAAAAAGAGATTGATTCCTCTGACGAAGAGGATGATAAGAGCGACGTGCCCTCTGAGTCCCATACGGATGATACGACAAACACAGAAACAAATGATTCCTTCAAAACCACGACAGCAAAATCCACAGACAAATCTGTGCGAAGTGAGAGTGGAGGCGACCTCAAGCAGGCTAAGCAGAAGAAGACCAAGTCTGGCCCAAAACTGCAAGGTTTCAAAGACCTGATTCAAGATAAGAAGCCTAAAAAACTAGAGGTTTCAACCGCTGTGCTCAAAGAAAGTGGTCTAAACAAACTCAAGAACCTTACTAGTAGCAAAAGCACCAGCAAGTCTTCTCGCAGTGAGGAGGAGCACGATTCCAGTGACACAGGGGCAGCCACGTCCGCACCCAAGTCAAAGGTCAAAAGCAAAGGGCAAGAAGCAGCCCTTGCTTCTCAGCGGCTCTCATCTGCATCTTCCTCCTCATCCTCCACAGCATCAACAGCCCCAATCAAACCCAAAGAGGAAGAGCCGAAAGAAGAAGGTGGTGAGAAGGGTGGTGCCTCTAACCTGTTTGAGAAGTTCCTGCTGAACTGTGAGGCAAAAGATCGTGTACCAAGGAGACAAGCAGACCAGAACAAGAATGCAACTCTAAAGGTACATGTCTATAAAGCTCTGCTGGAGCCCATTTTCTTCCTTTTTCCTTATTTTGCCAGTTTTGTCATAAGGCAAATATTCTCTCTCTCTCTCTGTTATACACAATATCGTTCAAAGGTTGAATGTTTGATCCTTCAAAAGTTGGTCCTTCATTGATCTGCTTATTTGGTGCTCAAGAAACATATCTTATCATTTTTAATGTTGAGCGGAGTTGTGCGGCTTAATATTTTTGTGGAAACCAATTTTTTGATGATTGAATAAAGTTCAAAAGGACTATGTAACGGTTTTTACTTTCACGTTTGATAAATTGAATGCATTCTTGCTGATTAGAAATATGAATTACTTGTTAAAAAAATATTTTTGACCCTCAACTTTTCAGCGGTAGTGTAATTATTAATTATTTTTTCTTTTACTTACTGGAAACCTCCAAGAATGCTTGGAAAAGGTTTCAGAAAATGTAAAGAATCTAGTGTTATGTTTGTGATTTGACTGTTTTTTTTTTTTGTTTTTTTTTTACTTGTTCTACAGGGTACAGGGAAAAGTGACAAGAAAACAAAATTGGCAAAGCAGTCTCCTGCACGGAAACCTGACTCGGATAAGACAGAGAAGGCAAAAGATGGTAAAATACAATTGTAGCTGACTTTAATTTTAAATGGTCTTGTGCTTTTTGTTCGATCACCTGATATTAACGAATGCATTCTTCTCCTATCAGCGCCACGACCAGGTCAGAGTCCCGTCTCCATGGAGGTAGACGAGAAACAGGAGAAGGGAGCATCCGAGATGGAGAAAAGTGATAAATCAGATGAGCCGGCCCTAAAGTCTAAGGAGGAATTACAAAGAGAGCAGAGAGAGGAAGAGCAAAGGAAGAGGAAAGAAAAGATGGAAGAAGAGGAGAGGAGGAGGAAAGAAAGGATTGAAGAAGAGGAGAGAAAGAAGAAAGAAAGAATCGAGGAAGCCCAACGGGAGAGAAAAGCACGCATGGAGGAGGCACAGAGACTGGCAGAAGAAGCCCGGCAAGAGCGGCTGGAAAGGAAGTCCATGACGGAGTCAATAGCGTCTCCTGACTCTACAGAATGGAAGGACAAGAGGAGGAGAAGTGAATCCCGGGTCTTCACCGCCTGCGATGACAATCAGGACTCTCAGGAGACCATGGAGCGCTCAGACAAAACTCCTGGTTTGTACTTGTCAATGTAAAGTTAAAAGAGGTTCAACTTTTAAAAACATGTCTTGCGATTCTGTTCATTTGCACTAATCATTTGCATGATTAAAATCAAAATCGCAATATGTGCGATTATCAAATCGTGTGTTTCGAAGTGAGGTGCGCCGATGTGTTCTTTTACATGAGTGCGATCCGGTGTTTTCGGTGTCTCAGAGCGGCTTGGTTCGCTGTAAATGATCCTCACAAACTACACTCTGCATCTGTTGAGTTTGGGTCGTTATAACGTGCATTTGAAAAGGCAAAATAAAAGCTTGATGGTTTAATGTTTGAAAATGAAGAAATTAAGAAAGCTATTATTATTGTAATCTTAAACTTGCACTGTAAATACATTTTGTTTTTTTCTTAAATACTCTTTTATTTTACAATGAAGTATTACAATAGTAATATTTCTTATGTATATTTTTTTGTAAAAAAAAATAATTAAAATAATCATCATAATTAAAATAATAATTATTGTTGGTATTTTATAGTGAAATTGATGTGTAGTATAACATATATTATATTTAATATAATAGATATATAATAATATAACTGGAAAGAAGCACATTAAACCAGGTGCTTTTTTTTCACATCACACTTTTTATCAGAAATGGCAATAAAAAGAAATTCCCTCAAATTATGCTGCCCTAATTTGGACTTCATTTAGCTATTTTTGAGCGGAACAACACATTGTGTGATCCATAGCCATTTGCCTATTATATATGTATTATAGGCTATGCATGTGATTGCTAAGATAGTGGGGATCCCAAGCCGTTTTTGAGTCCCAGATCACCCCTGGACACTAGTAACCATGTGTCTCTGTGTAACAGACAGGGGACTGCCATCTCTTAATCTTGGGCTGGAGCTCAAGCTGGACTGGATGACACTGGAGGACTTTCAGAAACACTTGAATGGAGAGGATGAGAATCTCTCTCCGCTAGCCTTAACTCCCGGTGAGTGATATACACAGAAAAACAATAGCACCATCTTTTGTTTATTGTAACATTCAGTTTTTAGTCACAAGTTTTCCCTCTACTTTTATTTTTTGCTCTTTATTTGCCGTCTAACTCTCAGCTGAGCTGCGAGAAGCAGTGAAAAATGGGAATTACCTGGCAGTAAAACGTGCACTTAGTTCCAAAGAGGACTACAATCTGGATCAGGAGGTATGCTACCTGTTTCTCTTTCTCTCTTGCATCTCTGACTGTGTCTGTCTTGCAATCTGTTATAATGACTCGTCAGAGAAACTGGGTCATGTAACAGTTCATCATTCAATCCCTGGGTTGACATCACTCACTGAGCAGTAACAGGCGTTTTCACTCAAATTAACATACTTGTCTATAATACCTGCAGAGAGTTATGTTAACATTTCCGTTCATCTGTTAGAACGTAATGTAATTGAATTGAATCAGTGAAGAAAGATGCTTTTTTGGTCCAGAAAAGTAAGCGGTATTTGAGATTAAATCATGTGAATATTTATTTATTTTATATTTTTTATGTGCTGCCACCTTCAGGACTCTAGCGGCATGTCCTTAACACTGCTGGCTGCTGCAGGTGGTCAGGATGATGTCCTCAGGCTGCTTATTAAGAAAGGAGTGAAGGTCAACGCCAGACAGAAGAATGGCACCACTGCCCTGATGCATGCTGCTGAAAAGGTGAAGAACAACACTGCTTAATCCAGGAACACTCACAATGGCTGATTCACTTCAACCACTAATATAAGAGAGTATTAGCATGTATTGTTATATTTGTTTAGTATAGTTAAGTATTCGATTTCAAGCCCTCAACGGTCTCTTTTATAACCCTGTTTGGTGCAGAACTTCTTGACGACAGTGGCCATTCTTCTGGAGGCAGGAGCATCTGTAAATGCCCAAACTCTGGGTGGAGAAACGGCTCTCATGAAGGTGAGAAGGTTGTGATATTTAGGGCTCAATTTGAGGGGGGATAGCAGGGGGGGGATACCCCCTTGCTGGAACAAAAAGCACCCCCCCCCCCCCCCCCCCCCCTACCATTCCCATTAAATTAAGAGTGTTGTGTATTGTGTAAAACGTATGCAAATAAAACAGCAATTGACTAATCAGAACTCAATATTGTAACACGCTGTGCAGTCAAGCAAGTTTTCGTAATTTTTCGCCCTTGTTCAAAATGGCCAGGAGAACGGTTCAAGCCTATCTTTAGAAGTTCTTTAAAAAGGGGTGAACGGAAGGTATGATATTTGGTCTTTAGTGTTTAAGGGTATGACATGAAACCCTGACATAACATTTGAAAAAATAATGAACACAGTTAAAGTGTGTTGATTCAGTAAGGGATTGTTGACAAATTTGCATTGAATTATTGAAAGTGCATGTAATCACTGAGGTGATAATTCACTCATTCATATGTTGGCTAAATGTGCTTATGTATTTAAAAAGAAATCCTATGACACTATTTAAATCTGCACAGAAACCATTCAAGCCACAGCTAACAAAGACTGTATCGTGAAGTTATTTTGAATAGAAAGGATGTGTGCTCTGTACTCGTGACTGTGAGGGATGAGAGACAATTCTGAGAAGAGAGAGAGAGGGAAATGTTCAGAAATGTAGGAGGACAGAGTTCCTTTCAGAAATGATCGTCCTATTCTTTTCATCTTTACTCTTTAACATCCACTGTTAGAGCTTTGAAGCCCTGAAAAGTGTGTAGCTCAAAAATTATTGTCATTTGGAACTCATTTCATTTTTTAAAAATCTGTTGATTGATTCACCTTCAGTCCCCTCCGAAGGTATCATTAGGTAGTTTCACACACAGTGATTATGTGTGTGTGTGAGTCATAATACTACAGTCATTTATTTAATAAATAATGCCTATTTGGATTTTTTTTTATCTACTCTTTAATCCCGGAAATAAAAATGTTTTTAAAAGTAGACAAATTTTATAATCATTGTGTAAGGTTAGGCACCCATAACCACCCTTTTTTATAATGAATAGAAAGTTATTAAATAGAAATATAATTTTTTTTGTAACAATGTAAATGCCATTACTGACTTTTGATCAATTTAATATATCCTATCCTTAATAAAAGTATTAATTTCTTAAATAAATAAAAAATCATACACTTGTGCTCTAGTTTTTTTTTTTTTTTTTTGACTATTTAAGTTGTGCTTTAGCTGTTAGATATTTTGCACTTAAGTAATAACTTTTGTTATGTACTGAGTCCTGATTGTTGTCTTTTTCCTTCTAAGGCTTGTAAGAGGGGCAATGCAGATGTGGTTCGCCTCCTGCTGGAATATGGGGCTGACTGCAACATCCTGTCTAAACATAAGACCACTGCCTTGTACTGTGCCAAAGTTAGCAAAAATGAAATGGTACATGATCTCATCAAAGACCACATGCAAACGTGAGTGTTTTATTGCTGCATTATTTCAAACACCATGTCTGTATATTTGAATATAAAGACGCATGTGTGAAATGTATCTCACAGGTTATCAACAGTGGCGGAAGAGACAATCAGAGCTTATTTTGAAACGCGGCTGGCCCTGCTGGAACCTGTATTTCCTCTGGCTTGTCACAGATTGTGTGAGGGACCAGACTTTTCACTGGAGTTCAACTACAAACCCCCTCAACACACACCCGGAGAAGGTGAGATGCTTACTTCAAATTCTTCTGGTCTCAGTAATTGCCATTTTATTTACCAAATAAGTGTGTCATTACTGTGTTTTCTGTCTCAGGATCTGGCATACTGCTTTTCATCTTCCACGCAAACTTCCTTAATGAGATTACAGCTAGACTTTGCGGGCCCTGTAGTGTCCATGCTGTCGTCCTGAATGACAAGTTTCAGCTGCCCATCTTCTTGGTAAGGCGCTGATGTCGCCAATCATCTTTGTGCAAATTTATCATGTCTTTGTTCTTTTGAATGTCTGCAGTCTCTCACAATCTGTGTGCTGATCCCCCTGCAGGACAGCCATTTCATATACTCTTTCAGTCCTGTTCAAGGAGCCAACAAACTGTTCATTCGTCTGGCAGAGTCCCCAACAGCTAAGGTAATTGGGACTGTTACACATTAGTATTTAATGAGAGTTTAGATACTGCTATATAAATGCCCGAAAATGCACCAAAGCAAGTGAATATTTGGGATATGGCATCTGTAAAATAATCAAACTTGTAGCTAACCTGGTTCCCATGGTTATATGGAAATATCAGGGAATGTCAGGGAAGTCGATCCTATCTGGGTTTTTTTAAACGTACAGTATGTCATTTTTGGCCACCAGGGGTCGCTAATCTCTTACAATAACAAAGGCGTATATTGATGACGCAAAGCATCAAGCGGAATTATGGATCTTGTCGTCAAGCTGATGGATCTTTTATGGATGAGTGAATACAGTGATGTTTTTAACATGACTGTGGTATGAAGCAGGGCGCGATTTCTAACGAGAGACGTATACCAGCGCCACACGCAACGCGAGTCCCGCGGATATAAAGGAATAAGGACATTTCATTCTACTGAGAGCTAGTGCTGAATTAATAAGTTACTCACAGGTCAGTTTATTAGACGAATTAAACTTGAGGTAACGCAGCGCTGTTTCACTTGCTCTAACAGTTACACTATCACACTAAACGGCATTTGAGTGTGTTGAATGTTGTTAGTTAGGTTGCTTGTTGGCTTTATGAGACTAGCAACATTAACATTAGAATAACATACAGATCATATTCTAACATTTCATCATGTTGAACTAAATAACATTGATTAGTTTTATGTACATTTGCTCACCTGTCTAATAAAGTACATGCAACACTCGCGTCTCTGTCAAGTCGAAGTTAGTCGCGGACGTGGAGCTCTCGGCATCTCGAAAGATTTTGATCTTCGTTCTAGTCCTCTTTTTGTCTCAAAGTCTGCTTGCCATGGTCCAAAATGTTTGAACAAAACAACAACAGCGTGAGCGTCCTGCTAAGCATAACCCAGTTGTCCACGCCTGTCGCCATGGTTACTATGGCAGTACGAGCGGAAACCGAGGGTAACGCGGATATGACGCCATTGACTGGCGACTCCTCACCCCTGCTAACACGTCCCGTTTCCTTGGTTAAAATCGCAATTTTCTCACGATTTACAAATAGTTGGAAACATTGGGGAAATTGTAAGTAATCAACTAAACAAAATATATAACATTGGCCTAGTGGTTTTTGGATATTTTACTGCAAAAATCCTTCATATTGTAGCTTTAAATGCATAGTATTAATATTATTAGAAACGATTCCTCCGTGCACATTAACTTTTTTTTTTGCCTTGTAATTCTTGCCTATGGTGGACCATAAACACCCTGAGGATGGCGCCCCATCCAAGAAGACACTATCACTGCATTACCACTTCCAAAGTGCGTGCTAGAAACATTAGTGCTTCCTTATCTGCTCAGCATTAAGTTACTCTTTGCAGTAAAAAGGTTCATTAGCGGCCGTCCGAGAGTCACTTCGGACACAGCAGAGCAACTCATCGACCAGAAAAATACACATGCATTCATACCTTGCAGATTATGTTCAAAATGCTTAAGTTGAGACCTGCATGTGCTCAACAGCATTTTACATTCTTATTGATTACACTCATACCGGCCTGACTTGCTGCTGACAGTATAGACGTGTTATTTTATGGTCTCAAAATAATATGCTTCTCACACGCTCACATATAAATGCTACTCACATTATTTAATAAGCCTTCAGTAAATAATGAGAGTAGCATTTATATGTGAGCGTGTGAGAAGCATATTATTTTGAGACCATAAAATAACAATTAAGCAAAACTACTAAAACACTTCCATTACCACTCTTTTAAAGAACTTTTCATTCTTCATCAAATTCTCCACAATCACAACACAGAAGAAAAGGTCTTTCGCTACTTCCGCAACATTGCAACTTTCATGTTGTTTTGGCAATATATTAATAATGATAATAGCTTCTGGTTTTTCATAGAATAATTCTATGTAATTATTTTTTTATTGTTTCTCATTCATTTGAATCAATTCACAAATCACTCTGAATGATTTGTTCACTTGATTTTTTTTTTCTTATCATGGAAAAGTGGGAATTCTGAGCTAAACAAGCTTTATGATAATGTATTTAAATGTATTAATCAGGGAATATGTTTCTCTCTTTCCACAGGTTAAACTCCTCATTTGTGCATACAGAGTCCAGCTACAGTGATGCCACAGTCCTCCCTTCCAGGTCAAATGTCACTGCAGGAGCTTGGCCTCTCCAAGAACTGAGACTTTTTCTACACTTGACACATGCTGAGCAGGACACAGTTTAGAAACGGTTTTGTTTTATTTTGGGCAAAGACTGAAGTACTAACAGGTCAATAACAACAGTCACAAATCTCAGTGTGACCCTAAATTCGCGCCTGGTTAAGTGTTGTAACGAGTTTGGTTTTTGAATAGCAACTGAGTTCAGCATGAAGTGTGACACATTGGGCTTGTATCTTGTCATTTGTAAATCTTGTTTGTAAAGTGTTCCTTTTATTATTATTTTTTATTTTAAATAGAATAATTTATCACTCTAGATTCACCCACTGTTTTATGTTCTGTGTGTTTAACCCGACCACGTACTCCTCTGATGTGTTCCTGTCGGCATTGCTTCTGCTGAGTGTATGAAGGAATGAACAAGGAGTTCTCGTCTCCCTGTTTCTTAGTGCTCATGGAACTAAGAAAAGACTGGACCCCAAGTGTGACTTTGAACACCAGAATGGGTGCTTTTTGTTTCCTGAGATTGTGATGGTTTTTAAAAAGCATTAACTAATGGTGTGCATCCTAAATTGGACAAAAATGAAGCCATTATAGTTGAAGAAATGTATGAATGTATATGTTTGGTTTGTGAGGTATTTTAAGGGCTAATTTGTGTTTGCATTGAGAGGAGGATCCAGACAGGTTGAAATCATTCAAGTTGGAGTGATTAGTAAAACAGGTTCTTTTAATGCTGATTAGTAGGGAACGTGACCCTTTTTATGTGTGCACCTATGTGTTGCCAGGCAGGTTGTTCATCAGCTAAGTTTAATTTCTAATTAGATTTTGCATTTGACTTTAGTTATATAATCGTTAAAATGGCAGCACATGAGCTCAGGTCATCTTTTCATACTGATCATAAAAGTCGCGTGAGTGTAGTTTTCATAAAATCGTTTATGAATTAACTAAGAGTCAGATTGGGAATTTACAGCTCGGCTCATCCTGAAGAGTTTTAGAAGTGCCGTGAAGAGTTCTTTTATTCTGTTGTTCATGGCCTACCTCTCTTTGTCCCGTCATTGTGCTTTTAGTAAGTGAAAGACTGCTCATTGATTCACTTCTGCTTATGACTACAGTAAATAAACTGTACATATATTTCTATAACAATCAATATTTTGTCTTCACTCATCTTCAATATAGCAACCTTAACATTTCAAAAGGAGTAAACCATTCTCTTAACTGGTACAGCATTAGATTTTCATCCCTGTCGTTTAATTTAATATACACATTAATTTTAATAAGGATGACTAGTTCAGAACAAATGCATGTTAGAATGTGTTCAGATGGAAAAGGTGGCCCTTAGCCAACATACACACTAGAGATGGTTGTGACAGAAATGTCTTTACTATATAGTCTATAAGAGCAGCAAGAAAAAGACACATGGGAATAAGTCCAGAGGTCTGTACCATGCTGGTAGTTGAACAAACTCAGGGTCACAGGATTAGTTTTGAGTTGACAATACCAAACAAATCCAATCAGGCTTTGTTGGTACCTTAAACTTTACCTGTCAGCTAACTATGGAGTGTGTGCACATGAAAGTGTGATGCCACTTGCTAACAGCCAATGCATTGGTGTACTATCTATGTCACATGCAGAATAATATGAAAGCCTTATCTATTTTTGTTGTAGCAATCTGGGTATATTTCCATTGGCTTAGAAGAAACTTTAAAGTGGGTCTTTAAAAAGCCAAAAGTAGAGAACATTGGTGACTGCTGTGACCAAATCAACAGAATTGATAAACAAAATGTTTGTTGCAAAAACATTTGTCTGTCATAAAAATGTGTGTTAATGTTTAACTGCTGCCTATCACCCCTTACAGACATTAAAATATTAGGCGGCCTCTCTGTTTTGTCAAAATAAATGTCTGCACCCTAGCCCTAGTATAGAGTCGGCTGTAAAGCACATAGGTATTTCTATATGTTTTGCATTTTGACCAATAGTACTGAATCACACAGTCAATTGTTTCACAACGACAAACTGGGGCACTCGATTCGCTTCCTCTTTCGATCACATCAGTGTCCACTTGTGTTGGGCAAGGAGGTCTTTAAAAGGGGTCACTTGTTTTATTAAGTCAATTAAGTCAGAAAAGTTTGTTATATGTTATATATGTTTCGTGAAAGGATTTATTTATTACAGAAAGGATTCCTAAAATGTAACTTTGACTCTTTCGTAATGCAGTTCCGTCGCCATATTTACACCAAATTGTGTACTTGCTTACCCCTCAGTTAACGCTTCAGTGTTTACAGCTATTGACTTTTTATTGTTCTGCTTTGAGAAGTGTGTAAGAAACTAAAGCTTATTAAACTGATGAAATTAAATGGTATTCAGCAACACTTAAGTAGCATTTCCTTAACTGTTGCTGCATATTTTAGTTTTTCAATTACACAATAGATATAAGACTATTCGTTAAAGCGTTCATTTAAATCACATTAGAATCAAATCGACCGAAACAATGAATTACAAATCTTGCATGACTTCACTGGATTGTCCAATTTAAAACTTCAACATTACGAACTATATCTAAAGAGTTGTCATTATGTGTTCCTGCTAATCTCAAACTACCGCACGTGTCTGGTTCGTAAACGAATAATAATTTTGAGTCAATTCTCCTCAATGATTCAGTTAAACCATTGTACACACAAGGGATCTGAAGATTCGTTCATGATTCGGTCAGAGGTGTTTTCGAGTCAACAACTCACTGACTCATTGAACCGAGAACCGTCTCTTCTGAAAATAGGGACTTTAAGCAACAGCCTCTGGTGGAACGGCAACGGCATTCTGTCGTTCTATTGCGCATGCGCGACATTAACTGCTACTTCGCAACGTTCTACTGTAACCGTCTACAACGGGAGAACAGCTGATTTGCCGTAGTCGATACTACGTGACAGATTAAGAAAGTTAATGTTATGTTTTAGGTTATGTGGCATTATAATCGTTTCTGTATATCATTAAATGCCCAAATCAACCCTTCTCTTACTTTTTAAAATCAGTTTATTTTTTGTATTTTGTCTGATGATTAAATTATCCCCTATGCCGTCCTCTTTACTGTTGCTTAGTGATTTTTGCGCTCTTTAGCTACGGCAGTTAACCGTTTACTTCCGGCTGCCGTTGCCGTTCTATCAGCAGCTGTTGCTTAAAGTCCCTAATGTCTGATTCATACTGAGCCAAGAAAAGTTGAGTGAGATGATTACGGGTGATTATAGCATTTCGATTGATTAGCAATAGCATACGGTGCCTACAAAGGGAACCTTTAGGGACATTTAATGTGATAAGCTGGACGTCTAGGACCACGTGGTGGCGTTATTACGTCATGGCGTAAAAGAATCACGGAATCGTGTTTTTAGAAAGGAACTGTTCAAAAGAACCGATTCCCATAAACAAATCGGACTTCCCATAACCAGCGCGCGCACGATCCAGTGTAGCGCGAAGAGCTCGCGCTGGCAGTATTCTCCTCCCACGCGCCTGGAACGTCGCTACGTTTTCACGCATGCGCGGCAGGATTTATGTCAAGGCACAAAAGTGGCGCTCTATCATCTCCAGCTCTACTCCGGTAAGAATTTCTCTGGCGTTTTGATGCTGAACTGTGTGTAATTGGCCAAAGTTTTTACAACTATGTCCGCATTGGAGCTCGAGCCAAGGAAACTATCGGGGTCACCTGTGTTTGTACGCGAGGGTAATTTAACGTGCAATTTTACCCCGCCTGAGATTTCCCCCCTCCGCCGTGGCAGGGTGCTATTGCCTATGCTCTCGCGCATTGTTTCGCTCGCTCTCTAATGGCGGACATGAAGCAGTGCTACCCGCTGACTGAAGGGGGCAAGATGATTCGCCAATTTGTAAATGGCTCTTGTTTTAGTAGCTAATTGGTAGATGTGCTTTTGGGCCGTAGTTAAATTGACAACCTTGGAATATTGAGTAAAATATTTGTGGCTGGTCACCTATAGGCGTTATAGTTGATGTTTCTTAACTGTGCAGTGCCCCCACAGGGCACCACGTGTATTGCCTTTTGATTGCCAGGGGTAAACGGGTAACTTCAATTAAACCTTCACTCAAGTCTAATATCGGCAAGAAATATTAATCCTCGTAGAACTCCCACAGGGGATTATAAGTATAGGCAAAAGCAGACGTATTTTCTAAATTGATGTGTTAGAAGTCTGTTCATAGCAAGAGTCATAGCATTAAATATTTTAGAGTGCCGTTGTGCATATATTCGGATACATGATGTTTAAATTCAGTTTCCCTCCAATTTTGTCGCGGGTATTATTCTCCGATAACTACTTCAGAGTAATTTGTTTCGCTACAATAACAATGGCGCAGTCTCGGAGGCTCTCCTCCCTCCAGTTCGCCGCTAATCCAATGGCTGCCTGCGCCAGAGAGGCCAGGGGTGGGAGTCGGCACATGGGCCGGGGATTTTGCGTGAAGAGGGGTAGTTGGGGTAGATTGGGAGGCTCCTCCCGCCTTGGGGGTCTCGCGTAGCAAGTTAGCAGACCCGTTGGCCCTTGAGTTTCCAGAAAATAATGAAAGCCTATGAAGCACCGCGTGTTGACGTCGTCATCCGGTTGCCTTGACAGCGCGCGGATCGCGGTCCGGGTGTGTGTGTGGATACGGAGGGTCCGGAGTCAAGGGCACGGCCCAGGGGTGAATGGTAGGAATTGCCCCCAAATGACTTCATTATGGTGCTAATTGACACTAGTGGTGCTCGAGAAGTGCAGCTTTATGGGGCCATGAAACTGTGATGCATTTTAGTGGGGACCTTCGGAAAACATTTGCGTTGTTGCTCAGAATGCAGACTTGGCACGCGCATGTGATTATATCACGTCTGAGAGGTGGATCAGTAACGCTGCATGTACTTTCCTCTCTCCAGCATCCTGATCATGGCATCATTAACCTGCAAGTAAAGCCCACAGATTCAAAATGTTAACATGTTTGTATCACATCTATTTGAGAAGTGTTTTTGTATTTGCTGTTTGGCGTTGCCTTCACACGGAGTCTGTGTCTGTGCATCAACATAAGATCTCAGCTGAAATGGGGCATTCGGTGTCAAAGCCTAGGAATGGACCAAGACAGACTCCAAGCTCTGCATTGCAGTCCAGATGTATTGAAGTTCAACCAAAGTCTTTGCCTTTTGGAAATCTGTGTCTGCTATGACAATCCATCCATTGTAAAGTTGTATTACACTGATTTTTGTTGCACATGGTTTTGAGGCTAAACTGTTGCTGTCTACATTCTTATTATCAGAGATTCTACAGAGAGAGCAAATGTCATTGTCATTATATGTATTTTTTTAACTGTACTTTAACACATCACATGCATTGCAAGAAAACACAGTATAGGTAAATGGTGTGTGTTGAGCCCCTGTAATATGTCTAAATGGGTCACATGTTGATGATGCAAGAGTTTCTCCACATTTATTAGCCCTTTGCTTGAGTGAATAAATTTGGTTGCTTAGTGATGACTGTTTCTTGATAATGATGTCATGGATACTTGGTGACTTCAAATCATTTTTAATTTTCTTGCATTTCATAATTTAAGTTTAGTAACCATTTTTTTCTTCCCAGAAACCCCCTTGTTGTAATTAGATTTTTTTTAATCCCTTGGTAAATTCTTGATCACATTGACATCTGTTATTATTAACATTATACTGAGCTAATTTTTTCAATTTCGGGAGGTTGTAGTCAGATTGGTCTTATTTTGTTCGTCAATTTATCTTTCTGCAAATTGATTATTGTTGATTATTGATCAACAAGCTCATTTTATTTCCTACTCATATTCACATGGCTTTTTTTGCTTCCTCAGGTAATTGTTCAGCTCATTGTGTTTGTGTCTACAGGTGGTTGCCTAAGCAATGGATGGAGATTTGGAAGCAAGGGCAGATGTTGAGGAGGCATGTACAGTCACAGGGGAGGAGGAAGAGGAGGAGGAGGAGGAGAAGGAGGGGGAGGGTCATGTGAAAACTCCCAGAACAGAGCAGACTCCATCTGCAGAAGAGTCACAGGCGGCACCAGACCTGCCCAAGGCCTCAGAAGACAATGATGATGATGTAGTATTGGTAGAGGGGCCTCCTGCTCAGTCTCAGGGGAGAGTACAGCCCCCCAGCCCCACACCTGTAGAGACCCTTGCTGCTGCCAATGACTGTGCAGAGTCGGCTACCACGGCAACAGCTTTGTCCAAGGCGCCCAGTCCTCCCTCCTCTGCAGCTAGCGCAGGCACAACCGCATCAACCACGGCCAAAAGCCAGAGTGAGCCAATCGTTATCGACGACGAGGAGGATTCTGAGCTCAAGGGTGCCACCTCTTCCTCCTCGCCACCCCCTGAGGCTAAGGATGCCCTGAGCAGCACAGAGCCTGACTCTGAAATCAGAATCGCTAGCGTTACCACACTGGGAATGGACTCTTCTGCGGTTGCAATGGCAACGTCAACCGCAACAGACATAGAGGATATAAACCTCATGATCACGAATGTGACATCGCTGAAAGGTGAGGGCGGTCCAGTGGCAGGCCAGTTGGAGGATTTGGAGGGGGCCGAGAATGGGCTGCAGATCAGCAGTGCATTCAGCTTGAACCCAGAGGCCCAGCAGAACCAGGGTACAGCCGGCAGACCGTCACCCACATTCAACCCAGGACGCATTAGCGCTGCAAGCCAGCCTGTGCAGAATGGAGAAATGGGGACGCACCAGAGATCTGGTAATTCATCCACATTTAGCTGCTGTGTCATCCTTTACACAGAACATGATGTACATTAGGCTTGCATGACTTGTTTCTCTAGTACTAACAAAACAATACCATATCTGTATTAGAGGTTTCAATTTCCAAAGGCAGTGCGCCATTATCCGTAATGCATGTTGTGCCAAGATGTTTATACCACTAGGAAAGATGGCACACTGACAGATATTTATATAGGCTATATATATTTTTAAAGTTGCAATGAAATGGAAGTAGCGACAGATCATTTCTTCTTTATTTGAGCGAAACGGATTGTCAAAAAATGTAGAGTGGTTCAATGCATTGATTGTTGATTGTTTTTTGAAATGTGAGCGTTGCTCTCAAAAGTTTATGTAGATGAACCTGAGCTTGCAGGGGTGGAGTTTAAGAGGACTATATGATTGTAGAAGTCTGGCATATGTCACCTGAAAGAAGTCTGTTGTTTTCACCGGATGGTCAAGTTATGATTTGATTAAATATTACAAGGTCAGAATATCTATAAATAAATAAATTAAATGCATGCGCAGATAATTTGTAACATGAATTTAGAAAATATATCAGGTGAATAAGGACTTTAAGAGATGCTCTATTGATCTTAATAAACTTTGATGATCACTTGATCCATTCATGTGCATATTTTACAGTAGTTTAAGGTAGTATTTTTAGTTTGTTACCAGTATTCAAAAACCAGAAGGTTTGCAGATTTCTTAATTGGGACTGTCATGATGTATATGAGGCTGAATCCTTTTTTGTTCTCCTTCAGATTCTTGGATCTCCCAGTCGGCCTCTTTCCCCCGTAACCAGAAGCAGCCTGGAGTGGACTCACTGTCTCCTGCAGCTCCTCTGCCCAAACCTCCCTGCCAGTCCTCCTCAGGATCCCAGCAGCCGCAGCGCACCATGAAAGTCACATGCGCCAACTGTAAGAAGCCTTTGAAGAAAGGCCAGACTGCGTACCAGCGCAAAGGATCGTCCCACCTGTTCTGCTCGACAACCTGCCTGTCTGCCTTCTCCCATAAGCCCGCTCCCAAGAAGAGCTGCACCATGTGCAAGAAGTACGACTTTTTAAAATGAGTTTCAGAGAGTGAACTTATTTCTGAAAGTGTTAACCGTTGATTAAAATGACACTTAGCCATTCTTGCTTTTTATAGAAGTACATTGGTTTGATAGTTTTGTTTTGTTTTTTGTTTAGTGTGTCATTCTCTCTTTTGTGCTTCTTTTTCTCCAAATCAGAGACATTACCAATATGAAAGGAGGCACCATAGTGGCCCAGGTGGACTCCAGTGAATCATTTCAGGAGTTCTGTAGCACAGGTTGCCTGGCTGCTTATGAAAACAAACAGAATCCTCAGAAGAACCAGCTCAAAACGAAGTGCACCGTTTGTGGAAAGCTCACTGAGGTCAGACCATTTACATTCTGCTATACATTTGATTTGGATTGAATCTCTCACACCCCGTCATAACCATAACCAGCAGCAGCCATGACTATAACCCCTTTCACGCAGAGATTCCGGAAAATACACGGATAAAGTGACCTGGGATTTGACCCGGGTTCGTTTGAACAATTTCCCGGGATCAACGCGCTGTGTGAAAGGGGCTTATGTCTGCATATTATTGGCTGTGACCGTTTGTTTCACGTTCAGTGTGTACAGACAAATTGCTTCTATCAAGAATTTTGTTGTGCCTGGTGTTACTCAGAATGTGAATTCTGGAATCAGGGCTCTGTGCTTGCATTTCTGTTTACGATGCACAGGCGAAGATCAGTTATCATACTTGATGCATAACAAAGGGCATTAGACCTTTTCAACGTTGAACCATTTCAACTGCACTGACAATAGCGTGTGTGTATATATATATATACACACTCACCGGCCACTTTATTAGGTACACCTGTCCAACTGCTCGTTAACACTTAATTTCTAAGCAGCCAATCACATGGCGGCAACTCAGTGCATTTAGGCATGTAGACATGGTCAAGACAATCTCCTGCAGTTCAAACCGAGCATCAGTATGGGGAAGAAAGGTGATTTGAGTGACTTTGAACGTGGCATGATTGTTGGTGCCAGAAGGGCTGGTCTGTGTATTTCAGAAACTGCAAATCTATTGGGATTTTCACGCACAACCATCTCTAGGGTTTACAGAGAATGGTCCGAAAAAGAAAAAACATCCAGTGAGCGGCAGTTCTGTGGGTGGAAATGCCTTGTTGATGCCAGAGGTCAGAGGAGAATGGCCAGACTGGTTTCGAGCTGATAGAAGGGCAACAGTGACTGAAATAACCACTCGTTACAACCGAGGTATGCAGCAAAGCATTTGTGAAGCCACAACACGCACAACCTTGAGGCAGATGGGCTACAACAGCAGAAGACTCCACCGGGTACCACTCATCTCCACTACAAATAGGAAAAAGAGGCTACAATTTGCAAGAGCTCACCAAAATTGAACAGTTGAAGACTGGAAAAATGTTGCCTGGTCTGATGAGTCTCGATTTCTGTTGAGACATTCAGATGTTAGAGTCAGAATTTGGCGTAAACAGAATGAGAACATGGATCCATCATGCCTTGTTACCACTGTGCAGGCTGGTGGTGGTGGTGTAATGGTGTGGGGGATGTTTTCCTGGCACACTTTAGGCCCCTTAGTGCCAATTGGGCATCGTTTAAATGCCACGGCCTACCTGAGCATTGTTTCTGACCATGTCCATCCCTTTATGGCCACCATGTACCCATCCTCTGATGGCTACTTCCACCATGTCACAAAGCTCTAATCATTTCAAATTGGTTTCTTGAACATGACAATGAGTTCACTGTACTAAAATGGCCTCCACAGTCACCAGATCTCAACCCAATAGAGCATCTTTGGGATGTGGTGGAACGGGAGATTCGCATCATGGATGTGCAGCCGACAAATCTGCGGCAACTGTGTGATGCCATCATGTCAATATGGACCAAACTCCCTGAGGAATGCTTCCAGCACCTTGTTGAATCTATGCCACGAAGAATTGAGGCAGTTCTGAAGGCAAAAGGGGGTCCAACCCGTTACTAGCATGGGGTACCTAATAAAGTGGCCGGTGAGTGTATATATATATATATATATATATATATTAGGGCTGCAACTAACGATTATTTTGATAATCGATTAATCGGACGATTATTTTTTCTATTAATCGGATAAAAACATTCAATTCGATTTTTTGTTTATTATGACTAAATAAAACCCAATTACACTTTATTTTAAGGTGTCCTTGTTACAGTGTAATTATATATTTAAGTACAGAGTAATATTAAGTAACTACATGTACTTAGGAATAGGGTAGGATTAGGTTGAGGGTTAGTTGCATGTAATTATTAGGGGTGGAACGGTACACAGAAGTCACGGTTCGGTTCATACCTCGGTTCAGACATCACGGTTCGGTACGATTTCGGTACAGTGGAGGGAAAAGCAAAACAAAAATGCAGAAGACATTGTATTTTTTAAATAAGTTTTATTAATAAAGGCATAGAACCAGTTTATTTGTAGTGCACTTGCAATAGTTTTATATAATTAGTTTATTAATTAAATTAATAAAAAGACCTTGCAATATGTTTGGTAATTGTACTATTAATTTTAAATTATTTTGCTATATTTCAGGTCAATATATTTGTTTTCCTTAATTTTAATTAACATTATTAATTGACAATGTAACATTATTCTCATCTGAATTATAAATAATTGATTTCTGTATAAAAAAAATTATTTCCATTACACGAGAGTAGATGTTAAAACTCCACGCTGATTTGTACTTGGCTTTCGCCAAGATAAGCAAAACTAACTATAAAATAATACTACCATTAAAAACATTCGATTTTCTTTTTTTAATCAATGTAGAATGTGTAAGATTAGTGCTCCGAGGACAAGAAATGAAAACCTATAAAATATGATGAATGTCCAAAAGATGGGACCCACTGACTGTTTTGAAATGGAGTTGGATAAATATGTTTTGCTTTTAAAACAGTGTGTGTGTGATTTTGGTTGGGTGACAGGTAGGGCTGTAACGATACACCAAACCCATGATTCGATTCGTATCACGATTTTTGACCCACGATTCGATTCGTATCGCGATTCTATCACGGGGGCGGGGCTTGAGGGGGCGGGGCTTGTGGTGGAAAAAAGAGATTTTGAGAGAAGAAAAAAAATACCGGTATTTTTATTAAATAACATTAGGAAAACCTGTATAATCTAAACACCAAAGAACAATAATAACTATGCAAATTATTATACTATACTAAATCCCCCCTTAGATGATTCTCATGGGGGGGATTTTTTTTGTTTGAGGGGGAGAAAGGGGGGGCATTTTTTCCAAACAAAATTATTACATTTATCTTGCCTAAATGTTTGCGCTCATTGCATTTTTACAATGGGGTAATAGCCTATTGTTAAGAATTTACACATCACAAGGAAGCTTGATTTAAATTGTTTAATTAAATTGAAAAAAGTAGCACAAATAAATACAATAGAATAAAGATACAAATAAAGACAATTAAAGAGAAAAGTTTTTGAATAGGTCTAACACTAGTATTCATATACAGATACTGAATAAAGTAATCAAATGTAAAATAACACTGGGTAGTATTTTAGTCCTGAATAAATTAAATAGATAGGCTATTCATCCTGATTCCTTTAACTTAAAGCCATCTTTTGTTGTTTTGACAACAAAATTAATGACAGACACATATGGCTGCCGTCACTTTAAGAGCTAGTGCACGGATCCTGTGTTCATTATACTGGCATGCGTTTTATGCTTATTAAAGACAAAACCGACTATATTTAGAGTAGCCTATAGCCTACTCACAAAGACCGAAATTGACAATTTTGCGTGTTAAAGCAATATAATCTGCGAAAAATAGTTACTGGCCAGCTGTTTTTGAGGCGGATTTTCTATGAATGTGCGCATAGAAAATAATCTCAGAGAGCGCGCGAGCACTGATTAGTTTAAAATCGCTTGAATGTTTAAACTGGTAAGACTTAAAAAGACTTCAGTCACGATGCACTGCTGGCCCGATTGTGCAAGTGAATATTCCGTCAAGTCCCGACCTTACAGTCTATGGTCCCGACTCCAAAACGCGAGTGTGTATGATCGCCGCAGCGCTTGATGCCTGCCTTGCACAACACATTATGAGAAGAGAAGACGCGGCACCGCTGAACACTCACGCTGTTTGTGAAATTGCGTCTGGAAGATAGTTGTTAAAAGAATGATTTGATTTTATTATCTGTGTGGATTACGATTGCGGGAATTTCCCGCATTATAAATGGGAGACCTGCGGGAATGATTAGAATTATGCACCCGCAATCCCGTGCCGAAATTCGAGCCCTGGTTCTGGACAGGAAGGATAATTCTGGGAGTTGGAAGGGGTGTGATCGCGATTCTGCCTTCTCACATCGCGATACAGGATCGTGGACCTGAGTATCGCGATTTCGATTTTATATCGCGTATCGTTACAGCCCTAGTGACAGGTGTAGGTTACAGTTTGACAAGAGTTTACAGTGTGACAAAAGCACGATGTTGTGTTTTATTGCGAGTGTACACAAATATAAGTAAACACTTTGCAGGTTTAATGATCTGTATGAACAAAATGACGGAGTATGTTTTTTATGTTTCCACTGTTCGATCGCGCGCCTCTCTCTCACTCACACTCTCTCTCTCACTCTCTCACACACACACACACACACACACACACACACACCAGCATTGCAATCTTGACATCGCAGCCTGTTCATTATGCGGTCACGGTCACACCAAACGCGAATAGAGCGTCAAATTCGTGTCTAGTTCAACGCTAGTCCAAAGCGAATAGGACGCGCGTATAAAGCCAACATTTGAAGTGAACGCGCGTTCAGAGCTAAGTCGATGGTACAGATTATGTGTCCCTAAAGAACCCGCGTATCTAACAGTAGTTCCGCAATACATTAATTAATTTGCACGCGAGTTTTATTTATTTTTATACCGTATATTCTCCGTGTAAATTCGTGCACCGAACCGTGACCCCCGTACCGTTTCGGTTCAATACGAATACATGTACCGTTCCACCCCTAGTAATTATGCATAATTTACTGTTATTACTACAGTAAGTACATGTAACATGTGTAACAAGGACATTGAAAAATAAAGTGTTACCTAAAACCCTAAATTAGGATATTTATGTGTAAAAGTGTACTTTAAAAAGTGCAAAAGCCACACATTGAGTTTTACAAATATCAATATTTGCATTGTTTTTAATGATAATTGCTGATGGCAAGTTGACAACCATGATTAATGTAAAAAAACAAAAAACATTTATATCCAACATATTGTTTTAACACAATTTTTGTTAAAACAAATTTACAGACATGTTGTTCAGATGTGAAGATATAAACTAAAAACATCTAA